CATTCTTTGAAAATTAAGTGTTTTAATTACGACACTGTCTCACGTGAGTTCCACGTGGAAATCAGTAAATAGTTTATCTAATCATTCCTATAAAAAAATTTTATACGCAGTGTCAATATAGCAATAGAGCCGGGTTAAATTCTTGCTTCATATCTTTGGAGGAAGTGAGCTCACGCATCCACGTGACAACGCGCACTTAATGTGACCTTCAAGGAAATCTCTATTTCTTCACTATTGATAGGTAGAGTTTAAGTAAATTGGTAGTACCATAAAACGCTACGGAAAGCCAGAAACACCTTGAATAGCCTATTAAAACTGCAATATTTACTTAATTGATTCCAAAAATTTCATTATAGAATGCCAGGGAAAATTTCAAAAATAAATAAATAAAAATAAGCAAATCATTCAAAAACATTTTTAATTTTATGAAACCTTCAATGTCACGTGTAAAGTAAACCTGAAATTTCTGACCCAAAATCAAAACAGTGGTACTGCTCATTGGCTCTGAAATACCTTTCTACATCAAAAGGAAAATATGATATTTTACCTGTGTAAGTTCTTTATCTTATGATTAAAAGCTGCTTTTCATAATCCACATCATTTTCTATTATTAATTGAGAAGAAATATACAAATTATTTTCAACTCTTAAGACGCATAATGCAATGTAAATATCCCTCGCAAACATTATCGTCAATTTCTGCCTGATAATTCGATCATTTATTTCTCAAACCAGCTCCTAGTTCAGAGTAGAAAGGCAAATCATGAAGACACTCCTTTGAGAAAACTAAATACTTCCATCCTCTTCATAAGCCAGCTTCAACCACTGTGGTTGGCGTTTCCACTTTCTCAGCGTGTTCAGAGGGACATGAATCAATGAGCACAGCACCAACAATGAGCATACACATTTTTTATATTTTTCACACATGTATATATTTCTCGTTTCTTATTGCACCAAATTAGAATAGTTTTTCACTTATTTTTCTTTTCCATTCAGTCAAATTTCACCAATTTTTTACAGTAGCACCAATTTAACTTAGATAACTTAATTTTAATTAATATAATTCAAAATAACCATATATTATTTGTCCATATATATATTTATTTATTTATTTATTTAAAAGTGGCTTTTAATTTATTCAACTTTTTAATGGGAAATAAAATATTAATATTTTCAATTCTCATTAATATTGACATAAAATCATCAGTTTCATCGTTTCTATGCATAAATTAAATGTTACTTTTAATAATATGAATGCAGGCTACAGTCGATAAATTTTGGTATCGTAAAAGGTATTAAAGATTGAATTTTAATTAACCTTTTCTAATAAATTATTAGTACATTAAGCAGACCATTTCACTTGCTAAAATTAGAACACGTAAATTTTAAATGAGAAGTGGAATAATTGCTAGAATTTATGGTGCTGATACGGTATGTCCTAGGAATTTGCTATTTGCAGTTTAAGTACTAAATTTTATTATCACAAAGATAAGCGCTGCAAAAACAGAGTTTTTCAACATTAACCTAATCAAAAGAGCTAGATTATTTAAAATAAAAATTTGAGTGATCTTATTATTATTGAGTAATGCAAGGCTGCCATTTTGTGTTGTTTTTATAGAAACCGCAAATAACAAGATGTGTTTACAATCTGAATTCTTGTACAATTCCCAATGATCTAATCGTTGAAAAAAATAATCACAAATTTCTGAGTTCCAGATTATAGTTTCGAAAAATTTATTTTAAATGGTTTATTAACCAATTTTTATAATCGACAACCGTAAATATTGTAATACATAATTAGGACTAATTGGGCTTGAGAAAAGAACATTGTGAATTATTCGGTAAATTAACCCGTAGAAAAGGCTACAAGCTGAAATTAGGTACTTAGATGCTCTGTGCCATCAATCCCTTCATTTAACCAATGACTCAAAGACTGAACGGCAGTTTTTAAATGTCTTTGTCCGCTAGATATGTTTTACGAAAGCTTCGTGAATTGCACGGAATCTCGCCATCCGAATTATACCTACGTATTACAAGTTACAAACATTAATCACACGGCACTAAAAGCCTGAATGATTGGTAGACATTCTATTTCACACACCCAATATAACAACACCTATATAAAACAAAATTTGTTAATTCTTCGTGACTATTCGTTTATTTTTTTCACTTTTAACTGTTTTAAAAGCCCTCTGTTTTGACGTAGGAAATAGATGAATGTAAAGAGTCAATTGAGTGGTGATCATTTGCCTAGATCATACTTTTCACTTTTAATGGAGTGCATTTTCAATTTATCATCCAACTGCAATCCATGAACAAATAAATAAATTTATTATTTTATAAAAAATGTTTATAGTGGATTAAATATTGGAAAATTTTGGTTAAGAGGGGAAAATATTTCCTTGATATCAAGTAATCATTGATTCCCCTTAGAACTTCGAAGACACTTTTTGGATAATATTTAAATATTTGCAGGTCATAATTTAAATGTGGTCTTTGTTAGGATGTCATATTAAAGCTATTTCGTTCCATATAGTTGTATTAGTGGTGTTTAGGTTCTGACAGTGGTGCCCATATTTGCAATAAAGATAAGGTAAATAAAATGGTGCATAGAGAAGAATTTTAATCGTTTTAATTTGCCCTCCACTTGGAAGCTATTATTACCGTCTAGAACATTAATAATAAAGAGACATTAAGCCATCGTATTTTATAAGTGAAATTCTTGTCTTAGTCATTGGCGCTTTTAATTTCCCTTGCTATGGGGTGTGCGATAGACTTACCTCCACGTAGTGCACCCTGGGCAACGTATACTATTTCCACAGTACTCACCTCACTTTTTTCTACCTTTGTGTCTGTCTCTTTCTCATCTTTGGAACACTCTTCTGTTCCCCCCCCTCTCTCGACTTTTTTTCAATTTGATATTCCTTCCCCTCTGTGAAGCCTGAAGTCAACTAAAGGGCTAATGAGAGCCATCAAGACGCCTGCCATTTGATATAAATAAATAAATTTCCTATGCTATAAGTATACAGGATTCGAACAGTTATAAAATAACACGAGGCAAGCTTTCTTCCTGTGTGGAGTGAATTAAGAATTCTCATTTTCACAAATTTCAAACTCCATTCGTAAATTCTATTGACAAAAAATCACTTTTATTCCTCGCAGAATTTTATTTAGCATTCTCTAACTTTAAGGCATATGTAAATTAATTACATACAATTATTTGCGCAAGTGCATATATTGAATTTCTTGGAGTGTGGAATAATTGGCAGATGCACTTTTATTAAAGAAATAGTACTCAAATACCGATATTCATATAAAATAATAATTACGTACAAATTAACTCCACTAAAACACATCACATATAAGGAGGATGTTGTTGGAATGAAGTACTCAGTTATTTAAATATTTTCGAAAGTGATCCAAAGGCTTCTACAAACTGTATATTTTGAACGCTTAGACAATTAGAATCACCACATTGGACAGTTATTGTTATATTGAAATATTTTCATAAACCAAGTAACCACACAGCGATTCATTCCTAGCATATCAAGTCCCATCTATGCGGTAATAATTATAGATAGGGCAACTAAAACATCCATGAAGATGTTATCGGCAGTCATAGCAAACACTCTCTCGTGGCAATCTCTCTTTCTCCTATTCCTCGTTTCTATTCCTCTCTCCTGATCTGCGGTCTTCTTCCTCTTTTGCCGAGTTATGATTTTAGTGTTTTCAAGTAGAAATCATGGGAATCTTGCTTGGTGTCATTTCTCATGCAAAATGAAGTTAAGTCGATGAGCTGCGATCTTTTTGGCAAATTCCACATCGACAACTGTTTCTAAATGTTTGCATTGTCCCAAGGCATTACGATTTACGTACGAAGTAGACAATTTAGCTCTGGATACGATTTATTTGCGTCCCAATTCCAAAAAATCATAATTATATACATGTATAAGGTTAATATATTTGTTAATTGAAATAAAACAATTTTAGTCTGATTATATCCCAACCCCCCCCCCCCTCCCTCGATTAACTTTATCACAGTTAATTTTATTTTCTCTCTTCTAAATTTCTCCACAACAACTCTTCAATTTACTAACGTCTCGATTTATTTTTCAAATTTCTATTAATTTAAGAGAATGAAGCAACTTAAGAGATAGTGATATTTTAAACATTTGTAAAGCAAAACTAGTAAGCGCTGTTGATTCTCTTAAAATATTATCTTAATACTTTAGAGAGAATGTATTACAACCAATAGCCATTACAATCAGGACTTTAATGGTTACAGAATGAGCATTTCAAGTGCTCAAGTCACAATCAGGCTCAAAATTTGCACCCACTTAATTGACGAAGGTAGTAAAGTGCGAAGGTATGCATTAAATTTGAAAATCTCTATGGTTATGTTCTACCTCATCTATCTCAACTTGGGTGTGCAATGCACGAAGGTAGATCCCTAAAAATTCTCGATTTTTTGTTAATAAATATATGAAATGCAAGTTATAATATCTTAGTTAAATATTTCTATGTAGTTCGTATATATGCTATATTGTTGGTTAATCTCTGATGATAAAATATTTATTTAGTTATATTTAATTGTAATGTATTGTCAGGAAATGGCCAATGGAACATTGTTAGACGGAAGAGCCCTTCTCCATCAATCTTAAAAGGAAGTTCAAAAACCCAAAGTTACTTTTATTTGTGTGTCATTCATTCCAAATGCCGTATATCTCATTACTTTCCTCCTACAAACTAACAGATGTTGTGTGCAAATTCGACGTTCAAAATTAAAGAGCTTGAATGGTATCCAAGATATGTCCAAATGATGCTTACCGTTAATGACAGCAAAGAATTAGCTGGCTTACTGTCATATATTTATAGATATTGATGTTAATATAATTATATTCAAACGATATAAAAGACGGATTTGAAATACAAACAACATAAACTCATAGAAAGCCCAAATGTGCAATCACAAAATAGAACAAAACTCTAGTGTGATGAATGCTAATTGTAATTTGATGCATAAAACCTAGATGCTCCAGTATCATTCCAAGCCAGACTTCGCCTTACTCCATGCGGAAAATGACCAGCTACCCACCCATTTCCGGATTTGTATCCTCGCAATTCCCCGAAGTCACCATATTGAACTGGAGCCATTGTCAACCTTCGCGCAAGATTCAGTACTCCACTGCCAGTACCACCTACTGAAGATATTTGTCTAGCGGCAGAGAGTTCTGCTGTAGCTCTAGTCAAAGCCAAACTGAGTCGTCGAACTTGTGCAGAATTTATTGAAGTTGGTTTAGGAGTATCGCTATGACAGATTGTTGAAGCTTTTTCATTGTCATTCTCTTGTTCAGATTGCTCATTCGATTTAGATATTAGACTATCCTCCTGTGGTGTAATAAAGGGAACTTCTGTTGCCCGAAATTTGTTTGGCAAGCTGCGTTTCCAAAAACAGGATTGCAGAATAACTCCAACAGCTGAGATTAAGAGGACGCAACTTCCAACAAACACAGGTTCAATGTGCAAAAAGTGGCCAAGTATAATGCCAGCTATTCCAAGAATCAGTCCGCCTATCGGTAGTCCATAGACAACTATACAGTATAAAATATGACAAAGCTTTCGAAGCCTCCTTTTGCGTTTTGTGCGTTTGTGAATATTTCGAAGGAAACTGAGGTCAGCACAAGGGTGGGCAACATTAAAGTTCTTCGCATTATTTTTTGTTGATTCAGAAAGGGAAGTTAGAGTTGAAAAGGATGATGAAGTTCGAGGCAAATCAAATCTAATTGAAGAACGAATTTCACTGGGTGAATCTTCAACAATGGGCGGAAGAACTTTGCTCTCGGAGGGAGACACGGGCAACTTTATGCTAAATTTTGACCCTTTTGGGCTAATAGGAGCACTTTGAATTTGTTGTGTAGACATCTCTTATGCTAATGCATTTTTCGGAATCTGCTGTAGTAGTCATTATCACACGCAGTTGTAAGCGATGATATTTATCTTATTCTCTGATTGGACAATGGGCGCTGTTTCTAGGTCACATAGAATTAGCCAATAGTTTTTCACCTTGCTCCCGACTTACAGCTGATCGCCAGGCTACCTTGCCTGAAGTTAAATTTTCAACGCGATTTCGAATGAATTTTTCCTAAAAGTAAACAAAAAAGTAAAATAAACTTCTTTTATTTCAAATTTGAATATGGATAAAATTAGACTTTAGTGTAATATTTCTTTTATTGACTATTAGTTGCTGGGGGTCAGTGCAACTCTGCACTTATCATCCGGTTTTGACGAATAAAAATTTACTTAACTTATCTTTACTGTTCCGTGTATTCAGTAAGCAAGTTGTAGTGAATACATAAGCGCCTTTTTATAAGCTAAACAATATAAAAATTCCCCCCCCCCCCCAACTCTGAGAGTGGAAATTTGTCTTCCCCTTATCTTCTAAAATGGTACCTAGTATTGTTTATCACTAAAGTAGTGTTATAATTAAAAAATGCACAATAATCGGAGTACGAATTCTATTTACGGAAAAAGTCATTTAGGTTGAAGTCGTTAAAATTCAAAAAATTAATTTTCAACCTGTACACCACATTAATATTTCATTCCTTAATTCTCACCTACCCTATTATCCACCTATCCAATTTGTCTAAAAACCTCCATTATTTTATGCTAATCTTATGAAACCAAGAACCGAAAAAATGGTTTAGTTATGACAGATAGGGTGTGAGATAGACTTACCTCCATGTGTCATACCCTGATCAGCTTAAACTCATACAGCAAAAAAGTCTATTAGCCGGCAGTTGACTTCTCACTTCCAACAACTATGACCCCACTGTATGTCATATTATACTACTTACACAGAACTCACCTTACCTTTTTTCTGCCTCTGTGTCTGTCTCTTTAACATCTTTGAATCACTACTCTGTTACCCCACTCGGCATTTCTCATTTTGACGTTTCTCAACTCTGTGAAGACCGAAGTCAACTAAAGGACGAATGATAACCAGTAAAACGCCTGCCATTTAAAATAAATAAACAATAGTTATGACAGAGTTTTGTCATAATGCCAAATTACTTAAACGTGTGATAAATAGTTGAAAATTAGGATGTTAGGCAGATCACAGTTTCAAGGATAAATGGTCTTGAAAGAAAGGGATTCAGTTAAATACTACTTATTTTGTCACTTCATTACGAACCAGCTTTAACAGACACAACCTATGCCATTTAATGGGAAAAAGCGTTAGTCACTTTTAAAAGATATGATTTTTTTGTAAATCCTTTTAATAAACTCATAAATAAAACTAAAATAACCCACCGTTGTTTACAGTGTTTAAGTATTAAAACCATGAAATAAGCTAGAACTTTAAATTTTTCAATTAAAAGAGAATGAATGGATGACCAGTGAAACTCTCTTCTGTCTAAAAAGTAATATTTTAACGTCTCCGGTAGGAAGTGTTTCACGCCTTATCCCATTTAATGTCAACTAAAATAAACGCTTTTGAATGTATGCTGAATTGTTTTTATTTCGCTAACTAGAAATCAGAAAGTAAAATTTGCCATACGACTTTTTTATAGATATGTTTAAGATAGCCAATTAAAACTTCATGGGCATAATTTATTTTATTTTAATAACTATTAAATTGCACAACTGGTCAAGTTAAGAGGCAGAAATGTAAATTACGATTACCCTTTTGTTTAAGAGAATCAACTACGGAATATCACGAAAAACAGCACTTTGGGCTTCCAATACTCCATAACAAGTGTTGGAATCATTCACCAAAAAACTTTGACGCACTTTAATGGATGTCACACCGCTGCTCTTTACTCTTGAAACAGCATACCACCAAATCGCCCACCATTCTAAACACCCACAACTCAACTGAGACTTTGGCAGCTAACTGGGACAAAAAAATTGCTTTCAGTCGGGTAGTGCTTTAAACTTCAAACGTCAACAATCTGAAAAGAATTTGTATTCCCATTTAAAATCTTTATTTAGATAATAAATTATCTTGGAGTAACTGCATTCTGTTTACTTTCCTCTGGGTCGGACTAAATAGTAGCCTCGTGGCTGAAACTAGATTTCTCAGCAACGTGGGGTGCGCAATAGACTGAAGTCGGCTAAAGGGCTAATGATAACCATCAAGACGTCTGCCATTTGATATAAATAAATAAATATTTCTCAGCAACGCAGTAGAGCCTTATTGTGCCGGAGAGTTGATCCCTTCCTTCTACTGAAAGCCCGTTACTCTAAGATAAATTGGCTGTGCGAGCTGAACTAAACCATTAACTTGTATTAGCCCAGCAAGCCTCAGTTCTAGAACATTCCAAAATTATTGAACCGTGATCTTCATTTTGCTGTCAATCATGAAAGTAATACAAATTGAACAATTAATTATTGCCATATTCATTAGTGATAAAACAAGAATAATATTTCTGCCTATCATACAAGAAACCACTAAAAATACATATCACCGAATTGGAGAGCAAATAGTTCAGAGAGAATTACTCCGGATGAACTTCCGATAATTTGTCCAATCTACCAAAGTGAGACCTGAACATAAACTTCCAGTATATGTTTCACGGATGATAACTTAAAAAATGGAGTGAGCCCAATTTTATACATGCTCTCTTTTCAATATTCGAGGCGTATAATTAGCATTATTGAAGCATTTACAATCTGAAAGTGTTTATTTCACTTTAAGAATCACTGCATTAATGCGTAAGTATTTCTAGTCGCTCTCATATTCATTAGGGATCAGTTAATTAATTTCAAATAGACTGCAATAGGTAAGCATAGAGTGAGCGTCACTCGATTCCCGTTGACGCTGTACGATGATTGAAAACTAAGTCGCTTGACTTGACAAAAATTTTGCTTATTTGAATTTGAGAAAATTTAAAAGGAATGCGTATAATGTAGGAGATAATTTTAAAGAAAAACGTGCTTTTAGCCCTGAATAATGTAGAGTATAGAGTTATTAATAGAATAGGTAGCAGATATTTATCTATTTTGCACGGAAAAAGATAATTATTCCTTTGAAGGTAAATGATGCCGATTTGCAAATATCCTGCTTCTAGATTTTATCAAATCTCTTTCAGCTTGAGAGTGGCGTATCTAAGTCAGAAAGATGGAATTCTATGGTCCTTCTCCATACAAACATTAAAAACGCCATTTTAATTCACAAAACATTGGAATTGTTTAGTATTATTCTGATTTTAATAAAAGATATGAAAATTAAAGATATACAATTTCTATCCAAAGTGCAGTTTAATTTCAAAGCATGAAAAAGGACCTAGATAGAAGTTTTGATTGTTTTCTTGAAACATGAAAGCTAATCCAACTGTTTATTGAGCTTCGCTACTATTCAATGGATGGTTTTCTTTCAGAAACCCAACTGAAGCATTCAGTCTCAATAATGCAGACTAAGGGTAACCAAGGCGTAAAAGGTTGTTTGGATTCAATGGTGCACGAAATAAACAATATTGTTAGAACATTAAGGAGAGGTTTAAAGGAATATGTTTTATATGTAATTTTATATTGGACTTATAAGTTCATTAATTTAAAAAATTTATTTTATTTATTAATTTAATTAAGGGTTTTGACTGAGTTTTAGCTATTTTAACATGCTTTTTGATTTCAACTATCAATTGGCATGCATAATTAAATTTAATGGTTTTGCGAATTTATAATTTTTTGCCGGAAATTTATTAAGGACATCACTATTGTAACTGTAATTAATTATCCTTTTGGATAAGAACTAACAATAATTTGAAAGTATTAAGATGAAACTCTTACCTCCAGATTCGAAAATTCTCTAATGATTGTCAAAATTCAGTATGTGGACTTTTCACTGCATTTTCTCGTTTTATCTCTAAAATCTATATTTTTTAAATTAAATCTACTAAAATTCAAATTGTGAAATATGGTTACCAAAAAGTGCATTCCAGTATCAGGATAAGCCTTGAAACGCTATAAAAGACGGTTTTATATAAACGTAGATTATATCTCCAGTTGGTAATTTGATTAACTTGAAGCATTTCTGTTGAATGATAGTGTCATACATCCGTTCTACTTAGTCAAATAATTTATTTCAATACTCTTTAAAGAAGAAATAATCAAGTATGAAATTAGAATGAGCCAAAAAATAATTTCACTGAACCTTCAAAACGAAAATAAAAATTATATAGAACCTTTTTAGGGTATTCTTTAATGAATTTTGCCGAATCAAAATGCTGCTAGTCATCATCAATTGATAAATGAAACAGATATTGAAATGGTTTACTAATTATCAAAAATTATGAAAGGTTCAGACACGCAAGCATTGCATTCCACAAACTCAATGCACAAAACATCGAATTTTGATGTAAGTATTTCGGAACTCGAACTGATGCGCTTTGCTCGACTCGACTTCTCACCTAAATCATTTTACCGTTCTTTGGAAGCTATCTCGGGATTAAAAATGTACTTTTCCCTCGAAATGAGTACTAGCAATAATTTCCTATATGTTTTTAAATTAAATAGTCTGCTCTTAAACTGGTTTCCTTACAAAGTTGATTTAAACTGGAAAATAGCTTTTAACTATTTTTACCCAAAATCAGAAGATCTAAAATTTTGCATAATTCTTGGTTTTTTTTGGTTTCTCGACTTCTTTATTTTTCCCTTATTTAATAGCATAGTGAAATCATTGTATCCCAGCCAAAAAGGCGTCCTTTAACTAGCATATACTCAAAGGATGACCTCATTAAGACAGATAAGAACTTTGTTTTTGAAGTCATACAAATAAAAGCGTCTGCCTATCTAATTCCCATTTCGAAATTTTTAAATCATGTGACATGAAGGTTTTTAGGTTGACCTGAGGCACAACTTTTCGACTGGTGATAATTACTACTAACATAGAACAATCAATGGACGATTGTGCAGGTGAATGA